GGACTTGTTTTACTTTGCCTTTTAAATTTGTACACTATTCCAACAAATGTAGTCCTCTGATTTCTGACGACAAAGCAGAAGTGGTAAAGCAAGATGAAGAGAGTAAAAACGTAAGCAAAAAGAAAGATAGATAAAGAAAAGAGAAAGCAAACAAGAACAAGCAAAGTACAACCAGCAGGTATTATTTATGTAGGGACAATCAGCGCCACAGACCTCAATTGCTTGTAATCCTATCACAGGGCAAGCATTCCATTAATATATCTGAGTAAGGTGTTTTTGAAAAACACAATAGCAACCTAAAAATATATACATCAGCCACTTTGGAAACCTGTTTGGCAATTTCTTATAAAACTAAACATACTCTTACCATAGGATCCAACAATTGCACTCCTTGATATTTACTCAAATATGCTGAAACTTAGGTCCACACAAAAACCAGCACACAAATAAATATTCACAGCAGCTTTATTCACAATCGCTAAAACTTGAACACAACCAAGATGTCACTCAGTATGTGAATGATAAGCTTGTGGTACATTCATACAGTGAAATATTATTCAGCATTAAAAAGAAATGGGTTATCAAGCCATGAAAAGTTATCAAGCCATTAAATACATATTGCTTAGTGACAGAAGCCAATCTGAAAAGGCTACATTTGTATGACTCCAACCATAAGACATTTTTGGAAAAGGCAAAACTACGGAGACAGTTAAAAAAAAGTTGTCAGAGGTTAGAGAAAGGAGGGAAGACGGGAGCACCAAGAGACTTTTGGAGCAGTGAAACCATTCTGTATGATTATATATTAGTCAAACTGCACAGACTGCACAAACACACAGAATGAGTTTGAATGTAAACTATGGACTTCTGTTAATATTGGTTCATCAACTATAACAGATCTACCACACAACAGCAAGATGTTAATAAAGGAAATGGGCAGGAGAGGATATGGTAACTCTGCATACTCTCCACTCCATTTTTCTATAAAGCTAAAAGTGCTTTTAAAAAAAAAAAAAGTATATATATTTTTAAATACACATGTAAAAAAAAAAATATTCCCTTAAAAAAATCACAGTCAAAGTGGGGTACAGGGATTTCCAGGCATGGTCAGGAGCTCCTCCAATCTAAATCACCACAGCCTGCCATTATATAATTCTGAATACTTTCACAGATTTATAGTTTATGTATTATAAATTTGTTACATATAGTTTATATATATTTATTCTTAAAGTACAGTTGTAAGTATACACACACACACACATCACTTATAGTTAATAAATATGGTTATCTAGTGCTGAATACATCTGAACGTAAAGCATGAGCAGTGGTGGAAAAAGACTGAGAAGTCAGGAGAGTGGGTCAGCTGCATCCAATGAAGATTCCATGTTGCTGGCGGAGGTCTCCCCCTACTGCCACTGGTTGAGAGAAATGCCTCAGACTGCTGCTTCTTCACTTTAAACAATAGTTTGGTGGAGCTCTTGTTTGCCAACAGTAGCCTATGGTGGCACTTGTCTTAAATTGTGTATCATGCTTTTCCTGCTCCCTCCCTGCAGTGGCATAGCATATTAATAAAGATCTAACTAAAAAGTGCACAAGAATTCAAAGGCACCTAGAACAAAAGGAGTCACAAAACAGTTCAGTAATCAGTGCTTTCCACAGTGACATTGAGTTGCCAAGAAAAGATAAAATTACAAGCACACCACAGTATTCTGGCTTAATGAGCACAGAAATACTTGTAGGCTTCTTTTTATTTTTCTTTTTTCCCATAAAAAATGGTTAAAACCAAAACAGTACTTAACATTTAAAGAGATAAGCATCACCTATCTGGAAAAGCTGTTTACTAGAAAAATCTCATATAAATTTAAAAGCATGTTCAGTAACACAGCCTCTTTCCAGATGCCACTTCTACAGTGTCTGAATACTAAGAAACAGACTATCAATATCTGGTATAGGTAGTAAATTTACCAAGTATGTCTGATATATAATGCTCATTCATATTCTTTCCCCGTTTTCAACTAAGAATCAATTAAAATGGGATTACAGGCTTTATGTAGCTTTTTTGCAATCTTATGTAATCCTTAAAACTGGGTTCCTTTTATATTAAAGGGTACCAAAAAATACATACATAAGTGGGAAGAGAAGAAGCAAAGGAAAAAAACAAAATATTGACTGTAGTATCTCTGGATAGGTGGGCTACAAATGTTTTATCATCTTCATACTTCCTTTTATTATTAAAATTCCCTATAAAAAACATTTATTACTTTCACACTCTATTATATCAAATATCTACAGCATCTAAAATAAGTAAACTATAACTACATGTACCAATAAAGTTTAACCTCTTATACAGAGCTTAAAAACATATAAAACAATATTATACTTTTTAGTTTTCCCTGCAACCCAAACATTGTTATTTTTTTTCCAGTGGATACATATACATACAGAAAAAGTTTATAAAAATGCAGGGAGAGAATAAATATCAAATTGAGAATAATGGTCACAGCTGGGAAGGGAGGGGACTAGGATGGGGAAGGGGTGCCCAATTAGCTTCAACAGTAACTTTTTATTACTTTAGGTAGTAGGTATACAGAATTTATTATATTGTCCTATGTCTTTTATGCCTATAGTATTTCAAAAATTGTTTAAAGTGGCAACTACTGGAGTCATACCAAAAATAGTAGGACTTAACCCTAATCTCTTCAAACTACTTAAATGGTTTTATAGTACTGAGTACATCAGAGATAAACGTATCTATTATAATAAGAAAATTATTTTAAGAGACAGGGTCTTGCTCTGTCACCCAGGCTGGAGTGCAGTGGCATGATCACACCTCACTGTAGCCTCAAACTCCTGGGCTCAAGCAATTCTTCAGCCTCAACCTCACAAGTAGCTGGGACTGTGTGCACATCACCCACACTCAGCTAGTTTTTAAAATTTTTTAGCAATGCAGTCTTGCTATGTTATAGCCCAGGCTAGTCTCGAACTACTGGCCTCAGGCAGTCCTCTTGCCTTAGCCTCCAAGTAGCTGGGATTACAGACGCAAGCCACTGAGGCTGGCATATAATGAGAAAAGTTTTTGAGAAATTTAAAGCAGTTCTGAAGGTCAGCAGTCATGTATATTTATAAGCAAACAGCAATCTGAAATCTGTATTCCAAAAAATATGTGTAGCAAACATTCCAATCTATGCCTTACACACAGAACTGAAATTTAAATCTGTCCAGTAAATTTAAATACACACATTATTTTGGATATGTCTTTTTTTTTTTTAACACACTTATAACTCTGAAAGATGATTTTTTACTTTGGTCAGTTTTAAACAGTCTTTTAAGAATATTATAAAAATAGAGTTAATTTCTGACTGGTATTTCCCAGGTTGGTGATTTAATATGATTTCTAACCATTCCTGGTTATCAGATGGCTTCAGTTTATCATCTTAAGATATGCTATGGTAAAACCAGGCTGAGGAAGTCCAAGGAAACACTGAATAGGCTTCTCCCTGAAAAACAAGTTCCCGGTCAGCCTCCATGGCTCACACCTATAATCCTAACACTTTAGGAGGCCAAGGTGGGAGAATTGCTTGAGCTAGGAGTTTAAGACCAGCCTGGGCAACATAGTGAGACCTTCTCTCTAGAAAAAAATTAAAAAATTAGTCGGGCATGGTGGCGCATGCCTGTAGTCTCAGCTACTTGGGAGGCTGAGGCGAGAGGATGGCTTGAGCCCAGGCATTCAAGACCAGCCCGGGCAGCACAGGGAGACCCCATCTCTACAAAAAAATTAAAAAGACAGGCATGGGTGGTGCACGCTTGTGATCTCAGCTATTCGGGAGGCTTAGGTGGAAGGACTACTTGAACCAGGGAGGTCAAGGCTACCGTGAACAGTGATCACATCAGGGCAACAAAACGAGACTCTGTCTCAAAAAAAAAAAAAAAAATTTAAATCAAGTTCCTTAGAAAGATTCAGAAATATTCAAGGATGTTAAGATGTCCCTGGGTCTCTTGCTATAGTCTCACTCAACTTTATGAAAAGCAAGTAAGCAAACTGATATAAGAAACCTCATGAAAATGTCCCACATAAAGGCAGAAACTTTGGCTCAAGTATTTTAAGTATCAACTTCAAAGTTATAATATTTTCATAATATAAAAAATTTTGCTCAAAACAACACATGAGTGTTTCATTTATTGGTCCTCAGCATTCGATATTGATTTAAAATCAATTTAGGACAAAAAGGAGGTCAAAGTTCAAAATGTCTACAAAATAATTTTTTTAGGTTAACATAAAACTGGTTTAAATATTCCAAGTATTTGAACTGATCAATCTTTTTATTAATCTACTTTCTTTAAATGAATAAATAAAAATACTCTGTTTTAAAGCAATGCCCTCATCCAATTTTACATTTTAACTTCTGTGAGGACAAAATAATCTGACAATTTACACAGTGTAGTCAGACTCTTTCTTATTCAGGAAACCGCCTCTTCAAATCCAAAGAATATCAGGATTTATAGAAAACAAAGGTTTCCTCGGACTACATCTTACAACAACAAAACAAGAAAGAAGCCCAACATATTACTTAGAAAGCAGAAGAGGAACAACAAAATGTATTTCTTAACTCACTATGGAAAATCAAAATGATTTGTTTTAACATTCACCTTCTATAATCCCTTTTGAAAAGACATTACTAGATCAAGCACAAGCAGAGACCTATTGAAATTTAAATTGGATGTTTGCTTTTCAGATCAGATCCATCCTAGTTGAGGATTCTCTGAGAGACCATTACAAATTTAAAGACACAAAAAGTAGAGGACTCATTAATAGGAGCCAGGCAAGGTTCAGACTGTTAGCTCTTTCTGTAAGTACTATCACCTTATATTTTGTTCTTTTATTTCATCATTTGCATTTACCAAGTGTGTATCATCCACATTCCATTTGTTCACTCTATTCTCACAAACGTCTATGGAAAAGCTGCCTGGATGGACGGGAGACTGCCTACATTAATTTTACTCACCAAGTTTTGTCCTGTTTAAATGTCAGCATACCACATTCATTAAACAAATATCCTTTGAGCACCTTTTCTGTGTAAAGTTCTGGACCAGGAACTGAAAGGGGATATTAGGATGATTAGTTCGACCCTCAAATAGCTTAACAGCAGTTCTCAAAGTAAACCACGGGACCCTAGGGGTCCTTGAGACTCTTAAGTGATCAATGAGGTCAAAATTATTTTCATAATAACTAAGATGCTATTTGCCCTTTTTCAATGCCTTTATATTTACACTTACGATGTAAAAGCAATGGTGGGGTCAAACTACTGACACTTAGCACAATTTAAGGTAACAGCACAAAACTATTAGTACTAGTAACCATTATATCTTTCACCTTCATATGCTCACAGTAAAAAGGAGAAAACAGTCCATTTTATTTAAGAATGTGCTTGATGAGAGTAAATATTATTAATTTTATTAACTCTTCTCCCCAGAGCTACATCTTCTTACCATTTTGCGCTAACAAATGGAAAGTATGCATAAAGCACTTCTGTCGCATTCAGAAGTGTAATGGCTGTCCCAAAAAGCATGTGTGCGGGCCGGGTGCAGTGGCTCACACCTGTTATCCCTGCACTTTGGGAGACCAAGGCGGGCGGATCACCTGAGGTCAGGAGTTTGAGACCAGCCTGGCCAACATGGCGAAACTCCGTCTCATTAAAAGTACAAAATTCAGGTAGGCATGGTGGTGGCGGGCACCTGTAATCCCAGCTACTCAGGAGGCTGAGGCAGAGAATCGCTTGAACCCGGGAGGCGGAGATTGCAGTGAGCTGAGATGGCGCCACTGTACTCTGGTCTGGGTGACAAGAGCAAGATCCCATCTCAAGAAAAAAAAAAAAAAAAAGCATGTGTGCCATGTTTTATGTTGCAAGCTGAATTAGCTGCTTTTTTTCCCACAAGGAATACCATTTTTACTTTAAAGAGTGGCTGGCAAACTATATTGTTCTTCAGACCTCGGTATTTGACAGACATTTTCTCAAAAATTAAAAGTGGGTCTGTCACTTCAAGGGAAACAACTGACAATATTTATTGCCAATGATGAAATTTGATATTTTAAGTGATAATTAGAATTTTGGAAAACTTGTATCTGCTACAGTGAGCCTGATAGTTTTCCATTACTTAAAAGCCTTTTCTAATGAGATTGATGGTGGTGTTAAAGAATGTGATTTTTGTGTCAATATTTGAAAGATCTCCATAAACTTGATGAATTAATATTTTCCAAATTACCAATAGATATTATGAAATCACGCATCAGTTAAAAGATCCATTCACAGGCCGGGTGCGGTGGCTCACGCCTGTAATTCCAGCACTTTGGGAGGCCGAGACGGGCGGATCACTGGGTCAGGAGATCGAGACCATCCTGGCTAACACGGTGAAACCCCGTCTCTACTAAAAAATACAAAAAAAAACTAGCCGGGCGTGGTGGCGGGCACCTGTAGTCCCAGCTACTGGGGAGGCTGAGGCAGGAGAATGGCGTGAACCCGGGAGGCGGAGCTTGCAGTGAGCTGAGATCCGGCCACTGCACTCCAGCCTGGGTGGCAGAGCGAGACTCCGTCTCAAAAAAAAAAAAAAGAAATCTGATAGCACCAATGTAGGTAAGTTTAAATGCTCCTTTAAGTTACCCAGTGACATTAAATTCAGCATTCATTCAGCTCCTACTACTATACACTAGGCAGTATGACTTAATCTAACACTTGTAACACACAATGTAATATGTTAGAGGATGCCCTTGCATCTAAACACTTTAACTATCCAACATAAGTTCAATCACCAATGACAAAGATTTGGAGGTTTTAACCAACTCTAAGTTTAATGAGCCAGTCGTATGATGGGGCTACAGATAAGCCTAATTCAAACTTAGACTACCTCACAGTTGGCTAAATGGTGTCCAGAACGCAAAAAAATCGGAGCCACCGTAGTCTGTATTTATCAGACCAGCTCTACAACTCGTGCTGGTTCTAGGCCACACGGGATACTCACGGACTCTGACAGTAGTGCAACAGGGTCACAGTAGTTTGGTATGTCGAAGGCAACATTGAATGAGTTAGCTACCATGTGCCAAGTATTTACTATGAATTTTCCTTATATCTTCACAAATCAGTAATAAAGGCATTATTGTCCCTGTCTTAAAATTAAGGCAATTCAGCCAGGGATGGTGGCTCATGCCTGTAATCCCAGCACTGTGGGAGGCCAAGGTGGGAGGATCACTTGAGGCCAGGTGTCTGAGACCAGCCTGGCCAACACAGGAAAACCCTAAAACAAAAGAAAATTAAAATTTTGTCTCTAAAACAAAAAATTAAAACATGGGGCCAGGCGCAGTGGCTCATGCCTGTAATCCCAGCACTTTGGGAGGCTGAGGCAGGCAGATCACGAAGTCAGGAGATCAAGACCATCCTGGCTAACATGGTGAAACCCCGTCTCTACTAAAAATACGAAAAAATTAGCTGGGCATGGTGGCGGGCGCCTGTAGTCCAAGCTACTCGGGAGGCTGAGGCAGGAGAATGGCATGAACCCAGGAGGTGGAGGTTGCAGTGAGCCGAGATTGCACTGCCTGGACAACAGAGCGAGACTCCATCTCAAAAAAAAAAAAAAAAAAAATTAAAACATTAGCTGGCCATGGTGGCGCATGCCTGTAGTCCCAGCTACTCAGGAGGCTAAGACAGAAAGATTGCCCGAGTCTAGGAGTTTAAGGCAACAGTGAGCCATGACTGAGCCACTGCACTCCAGTTGGGGAAAGAGAGCAAGACTCTGTTTCTAAATAACTAATAAATTTGAAAATAAATAAAATTAAGAAGATACAGACTCAGAAAGGTTAAGTAACATGCTCAAGGTAGCAAACTTAGTAAGTGGCATTAACAGAATTTAAGACCAGAGCTCCTATAGCGGGTTGAATGGTGACTCCCAAAAAGATATGTTCACATGCTTACCACTGGCACCTGTGAATACTCATTTGAAGAAAGGTCCTCAGAGATGTAATTAAGGATCTTGAGATCATCCTGAATTATCTAGGTGGGTCCTAAATCCAGTGACAAGTGTCCTTTTAAGAGTGAAGCAGACAGAGATTACACGGAGAGGAGACAATGAGACCATGGAGGCAGAAACTAGAGTGATGTAGCCACAAGTCAAGGAATGCCACCAAAGGCTGGAAGAGACAAAGAACAGATTCTCCCCCAGAGCCTCCTGAGGGAGCACTACCCTGTGAACACTTTGATTCCAGACTCCTGGCCTCCAGAACTGTGAGAGAATACATTTCTGTTTCTTGAAACTACTAAATTTGTGGTTTTATGGCAGCCCCAGGAAACGAATGCAGTCCACAAACTCACTCTCTCCAGCATTCCCTACTACCTTCCCAAGGTTGAAGGATCTAGGGATATGTAAACTAAAATAGGGATGACTTGGACAATAAGGAAAATGAAAACTAGACTTGCTTTTGCAAGCCCTAGAGAACAGAGTAAAATCAGTAGGTAAAAATTTTAGGGATACCACTCAGGAGGCTGAGGCAGGAGGATCCCTTCAGCACAGGAGTCTGAGAGCAGCCTGGGCAACTCAGAGACCCTGTCTCCAAAGAGAAAAAAAAAAAGGTTCAGGAAGAAATTTCAGTTGGAAAAACTTTCCAACCATCCAAATATCTTAAAGACTAACCAGACTTTTGGTAGGTGGTTACGCTTCCTATCACTGGATGTGTTCAAGGAGATACTGAAGACTTTTAACTTTGGAGAGCAGAGCTGTCTTAGATGATTTAGAATCTCTTCCCACCCTGAGTTCCTAAAATTATAAAATGTTAGATAGTACCACAAAAGCCTAAGTAAAATATCACAAATGAGTTTTGCAGGTTTCTACAATCATTCAAATAAATACTGCTTATTATGTGTCAGGCACTGTGCTTGGTAATGAACACAAATACAGTATCTACTCTCATGAAGCTTACAATCTGGTGGGACAGACACATATCAAGCAATATGCAAACAAATGTAAAATTATATATATGACCACCTATAATGAAGGAAAAATGCAAAAAAGAGAGAGACCAGGTAAAACTTCCCTAAGGAAATGATGTTTGAGCAGAGACCTGATGGATTTAGTTATCCTTTGGTACCTGGGGGTGAATCAAAATCCAAAGATGCTCATGTCCCTTCAGTTGGGCCTCCACATCCACAGGTCCTGTATTCTCGGATAGAAAATACCATACCATGTGGCTACAAAATGGATTTCTTCAGAATGAAAGCAATCACTGTGGTGGATTCTCAAGTGAGAATTAGCTCTTGCTTTCATACCTTTCAGATATAGAAGTTTAAGAGACAAAAAGTTTGTACTTTTTATTCTCAGATTCTCTACCTCCCGCTATGTCTGGAAAGTGATTTAAGACTCTTGTCGGCCGGGCGCGGTGGCTCACGCCTGTAATCCCAGCACTTTGGGAGGCCGAGACGGGCGGATCACGAGGTCAGGAGATCGAGACCATCCTGGCGAACCCGGTGAAACCCCGTCTCTACTAAAAAAAATACAAAAAACTAGCCGGGTGAGGTGGCGGGCGCCTGTAGTCCCAGCTACTCGGGAGGCTGAGGCAGGAGAATGGCGTGAACCCAGGAGGCGGAGCTTGCAGTGAGCTGAGATCCGGCCACTGCACTCCAGCCTGGGTGACAGAGCGAGACTCCGTCTCAAAAAAAAAAAAAAAAAGACTCTTGTCAAGCATACATTCTAAAAGCCCTTCTTTTGGAAAAGATCCTAATCTTTCAAAGTAGAAGGAAAGAGAATAAACAAGTTGGACTTTGTCATCGTCACCTCTACAGGTTTTACTATTCTTACAAAATGCAGTCACTAAGAAACTATTTACCCTAGATTTGCTTTCCATTTTGTATAAAAAATAAAAACAAAAACAAATCAGCTACCAGAGGGATTAAAAACAGAATTAAATGAATAGGCAGGAAAATTGGGGTATACTACCAGCTCTAAATAGGATTTCACCGTATAAAATCTTTAAGAAAGATACCTTTGAGAAAGTTCCAGTTATTCTTTACACAGAATTAGAATCATATATATCACATATTTCACTGAATATGAGAGTTGGATTACACAGCATTTTGTTTATATTTTATGTACACAAAATCTTTTGAATTCCCTAGAGATAATGCAAAACAAAAAACAAAAAAAAAAAAAAACAGGTGTTTTTAACACTACTGTATTATACTATTGCTGCTACTAATACTTCATGTGCTGACAACTGGAGTAACTCAGAAGGTCCCAGGGTAAAATAAAAGACCAATGCTATCCTGAGACCAGGTTCTTCACTTCAGAAACTATCCTGCAAATAGAAATCTTAGCTCAGGAAGTATCATGGCAGAGTGGAGAAAAAGCAAGTTAATATGTGAACGAAATCGAGGTTAACCCAGGATTTAGCTTTCATTCTGCACTAAGTAAGCTTTCATGGGCAAGCCCTTTACACCCTTACTCCAAGTTACCCTTACCTCAGCAAAACCATAAAGAGTATGAAAGCAAGCATTTCCTCAACAAATATGTATTGGGAGAGAAAATTTAAAAGTATCTTTTACGTTTCATTAAAAGAAATGGATCTGTAACTGTCCCATTAAGAATGTTTCAAGGTAAAAGTAAATTGATAGTG